GGAATGGTGTGTGAGTGAATGATGTGTGAGGGAATGGTGTGTCAGTGAATGTAGTGTGAGTGAATGATGTGTGAGGGAATGGTGTGTGAGTGAATGGTGTATGAGTGAATGATGTGTGAGTGAATGTAGTGTGAGTGAATGATGTGTGAGGGAATGGTGTGTGAGTGAATGATGTGTCAATGAATGATGTGTGAGAGAATGGTGTGTGAGTGAATGGTGTGTCAGTGAATGTTGTGTGAGTGAATGATGTGTGAGGGAATGGTGTGTGAGTGAATCGTGTAAGGGAATGGTGTGTGAGTGAATGGTGTGTGAGGGAATGGTGTGTGAGTGAATGATGTGTAAGGGAATGGTGTGTGAGTGAATGATGTGTGAGGGAATGGTGTGTCAGTGAATGGTGTGTCAGTGAATGATGTGTGAGGGAATGGTGTGTGAGTGAATGATGTGTGAAGGAATGGTGTGTCAGTGAATGGTGTATGAGTGAATGATGTGTGAGTGAATGTAGTGTGAGTGAATGGTGTGTCAGTGAATGATGTGTGAGGGAATGGTGTGTGAGTGTATGATGTATGAGGGAATGGTGTGTGAGTGATGATGTGTGAGGGAATGGTGTGTGAGTGAATGATGTGTGAGGGAATGGTGTATGAGTGAATGGTGTGTGAGGGAATGGTGTGTGAGTGAATGATGTGTGAGGGAATGGTGTGTGAGTGAATGATGTGAGGGAATGGTGTGTGAGTGAATGATGTGTGAGGGAATGGTGTGTGAGTGAGTGGTGTGTGAGGGAATGGTGTGTGAGTGAATGATGTGTGAGTGTGCCCTGCAATGGGTTGGCCCCCCATCCTGGGTTGTTACTCATCTAGTTGACACATCCTTAAAACTTATCCAGAACTGTAAGATGTCAGTGAACTGATTACAAAGAGTGCTGCTGTACTACCCAGCTAGTGAGGTTAAAGGATTGTGACACTTCTGTGACATGTGCTCCGCCCACAGCAGGTTGACGGGGAAGGCCTTATCTGTCAGGAGCAGATCAATCACTCCATCTACTGGGCGGATGGCTATATGCTGGTGTTCTCCATCACAGACGACAGCAGCTACCGCACTATCCATCCTCTCTACCAGCACGTGCGTCGCATTCACCCCGGTGGCAACATTCCCATCATCCTCGTGGGCAACAAGAGTGACCTGCTGCGTGCCAGGCAAGTGGCGGTGGAGGACGGTGAGGCACTGGCGGCGGAGCTGGGGGGCGCGTACTTCGAGGCCTCAGCCAGGGAGAACCATGAAGGGGTGCGTGAAGCCTTCCTGCACCTGTACCAGGAGATAAGCCGGACTTTCCGAGGTGCGAATGGGGAGAAGCGGCGGGCAGGTCTTCACCAGGGCAGGCCCAAGTCGCCCAACATGCAGGAACTTAAGAGGAGGTTCAGGCAGGCTCTCTCCTCCAAGGTCAAGTCTGCTTCTGTTCTGTGAGGTACGCCAGGCACCCCCGAGAGACACACCAAAACGGGACGTGCCCCATCTGAGAGTGGCTTGGGGCATGTCTGATGGAGCAATACACCAAGGAGTAACTCAGGAAGAATGATTCCCATTCCACTTGTTTTGATCTAATTTCTCATCCATCAAAAGGAAGAAATCCCACCAGCTATGGTTCCTGTTAGCAATCAGTAACCTTTGATTATGCATTATTTATCTGTAGAGGTAGCCAAAGATCATTACTGAAAGGATATTTATTGAAAAGTATATTAAAAGTTTATTCCAGCCCCAAAGTATTTAATTATACATACATCTGTTGTTCAACAAAATCTCATTAATGGTCATTTACAAGCAATATGAATGTACTGAAGTATAGTTAGTTGTAAGTGTAGCTATATTTGAGAATAAAAATGGTAACATTAAATTTTCAAAGCTGCCTGCTACGGATTTATCCATCATCGACAAACATGTTTATTAGTTTATCAGAATCAGGATTAATGTTTCCCTGGAACAAAGATACAAAAAAATTTATGGTGATATTATAATTCCAACAAAACATCTGTGCATTGCTCATAATGTCATCTTTCTGTGTCCTGGTGCACTGTCTCTGGTCTTAACTTCCTCCACAAGATCAGCAGAACAAGCCTTCAGATCTGCTGCCAGGAGAATTCCTCTCACTGACTCCCTGCTCCAGTCTCCCTCCAAAAGTACAGACAGTGATAAGTGACAGAAACTTCACAGTCCTCATTCCTTGGCTGCTCATCTGTTTCATTTAGATCCTCTCATAAATGTTTCTTCTTTTCTGACCTTCCTATTAGAGCTTCCAATTCAGCTTGATGACTTTTGAGAAAAAACTGTAGTCTGCAGAAGCTGAATGGCTGCAATGAAGAAGTCAGCCAAAGCTTGGATTTTCGATTATAGGGAAATTTAACTTTTTATATATCATTCACCATCTTTGATCCAGTAGGAGCGTACATACCCTATATTGCCAAAATATTGGGACACCCCCCCCCCCAAATCATTGAATTCAGGTGTTCCAATCACTTCCATAGCCACAGGTGTATACAATCAAGCACCTAGGCATGCAGAAACAAATATTTGCGAAAGAATGGGTCACTTTCAGGAGCTCAGTGAATTCAAGTGTGGTACCGTGATATGATGCCACCTGTGCAATAAGTCCATTTGTGAAATTTCCTCGCTACTAAATATTCCACAGTCAACTGCTAGCGGTATTATAACAAAGTGGAAGCAATTGGAAACAAAAGCAACTCAGCCAGAAAGTGGCAGGCCATGTAAAATCACAGAGGGGGACAACGCATGCTGAGGCGCACAATGTGCAGAAGTCGCCAATTGTCTGCAGAGTCAAAAGCTACAGACCTCTAAACTTAATGTGGCCTTCAAATTAGCTTAAGAACAGTGCGTATAGAACATCATGGAATGGGTTTCCATGGCCGAGCAGCTGCATCCAAGCCTTACACCAGCAAATGTAATGCAAAATGTTGGATGCAGTGGTGTAAAGCACACTGCCACTGGACTGTAGAGAAGTGGAGACGTGTTCTCAGGAGTGAGGAGTCATGCTTCTCTGTCTGGCAATCCGATGGACGAGTCTGGGTTTGGTGGTTGCCAGGAGGGCGGTACTTCCCTGACTGCCTCGTGCCAAGTGTAAAGTTTGGAGGAAGGGGGATTATAGTGTGGGGTTGTGTGACGACCCTGACGTTTCTCCAGGCCCTACTGGGAAGAGTGTGGCTGATCTTGATTGGCCTATCCTATAATTAATTTTTCAGGGGTTGGGCTTGACCCCTTAGTTCCAGTGAAAGGAACTTTTTATTTTTATTTTTCAAGTAATAAACACTTAATTCTTTACCTGTAATTCAGAGATCTTGGCCTGTTATTAGTGTGGCATGGATATCTGTCCTAGGTGGGAGATTGATGAGCCCCACCGTGTTCTCTCCCTTGTGGAGTGGAATACATGTTTTCCTCAACACAATTTCTTTAGTGCATTATATTAAAATCAGAGGTGGAAAGTTCAGGTTCAGAAAGTAAAAATCCAGACCAAGATTTTGCTTCAACCAACCAGTTGAGTACAAAGAGTCACAGTCACAAAGTACTCCACTGGTTGGTTGGAACAAAACCTTGGTCCAGATTTATACTTTCCGGACCCAAACTTTCCACCTCTGATTAAAATCCCGTGGGAATAGTTATTTCTGAAATCATGTTGTTTGCGAGCTAGCTAAAGAAAAGGGGCATTGAGCCAAGGGGTCATGAAGGCAGCAAAAGCAAAGATAACTGTGCTAATGACCTTACAAGGCACAGCTGTTCCATGACCTGCAATGTACTTATCACTTGTCATTTTTTAAAGAACCCAGATAAGCCAACAGCAAATGTAGGGACTGGGATAGTAACTGATGTTACTCTGTTAATCACAGTCTTCAGGCCAGGCCCTGGTTTGATTTGCTCTAGGTTATTTTATTCAGTGAAGTATGACTTCACATTTCAACTTTTACGTTACAAAGCATGTGTCCTGAGGACTTTAGGTCAATTAGATTAAGCATTAAAATGAGTAGAATATGTATGACAGACAAATCCAAGGTCTCGGTTAGAACATGGTTTGCAGCGGTTACAGCATGAAGCTGAACTTTTTGTTCTCACAGTTCTTGACAGTGTACACTTTTAAAGGCCATAAAATAACAATAAGCCTCAATATTTTTGTCCTTCAATCAGCCCTGTAGTGTTACCGCATGTTTACATAATGCATTCTTGGTCTCTTACACCAGACCAGTTTTCTTCAGTGACCTCTAGTTGATTCCAATCTTGTGTCAGACTTGATATTGCTGGTCTGCAATTCCTCCCCATCAGTTAACTGGAAGGCAGGAAGTTCTTCCAGTGAATATCTGACTTATAGGAAGCAGCCTGAGCTCAGAAACATGGGCTTTTTGTTCTGTCTAATATGTTATACTGTTGTTGTTCTGGCCCTTTAAGATTGGGGGTTCAAATCCTGTCTCTGCTATGTGTGTGTGAGAGTTATGTATGTATGTCCCCACAATCTGATAGAAACCTGCTGTTTTGACATTGAGGGGACCAACCATACCACCCATAAATATCTGTGACTGCAATCAAACTAAAAATGCCAAAAATCTTGTATGTTGTTTGGTTACCTATGGTTAAGGTTAGGGCTGGGTAGGTTTAAGGTCGTCATGTTGACATTAGGGTTATGCTCATGGAAATGAATGGAGAGTCTCCACGAAAATATGAAATTGTAAACTGTGTTTGTGTGTGTGCATGCGTGTGTTCATGTGTGTGTGCATGTGCGCGCGTGTGTGTGTGCGTTCATATGTGTGTGCATGTGCGTGTGCGTTCACATGTTTATGCATGTGCTTGCGTGTGTGCGCGTGTGCATGTGTGTGTGTTCACGTGTGTGTGCGTGCACGTGTGTGTGTGCATGTGCGCGCCCGTTTCAGTCCCCCTGAGATAGACTGTGTCCCCTGTAAAGCATTGGCATCCCTTTCTATTTGTGGAATGTATAGTCCTGGGTCACTAATTCTTAGGCAGAAGACTTTCATGTTTCCACACTTGTCGATATCGTGACTTCATGGAATTTCCCGTGGTAAGATGAATAGGTACACTTTATTCTCTAGACAGATTTGAGAATATGGAAACAGGAATTGGAACATCTGGTTTTTATTCCTATTTAAGAAAAATGATCAACTTATCAAAGGTAGGATGCTCTTTTCGGAGGGGTGCAGGGGTGGACTGGGAACAAAAAGCAGCCCGGGAATTTGCTGTCAAGCAGCACCAATTTGATATTTTAACAGCAACCAAAGACGGAGGGGTTGGGATATTTTCATTCCCCTTGGTATATTTTGCCAATCAGGATCTTATAGGGTAGCGACTGACAGGACTGGCCCACGTGGAAAATTCTGACACTTCCCGATGGCCAATCTGCATCTGGAAGAGTCTTTCAGCAAAACAGCTATTTAGTAAAAATTAGTGATTATTTTGCGAAAGGGCTACAGCGATTTCAAATGAGCAGGGATGGGGAAGCTAAGAGACTCCACTGTGTTTTGGAGTCCAGCAGTGATTTCCTGCCCAAAGTCTGTTTGTCGTCAATGCCCTCCTCATTTTTCATCGTTTCATTCCACTCTCATTCCGTATGAAATAAAAACATTTAAAAGTGGAAAGGGAGGAAAACTCAGGGCCAGTTTGTTACTTTTTAGCTGTGGGAGGATTTCCTGTGTGGAGGATGGTTGGTCCACATTTTTTTTCTTCCTTAATTTCCCAGACATCCCTCTCTCCCCTTTTCCCACCCATCCAGACCGAGTGCTGACGTTCTCACAGTGCTGCACCGCTACAAGATGTAAAGGGATCTCGGCGCTAACCAAACCACATTTATAAATGACACTTTATAAGGCAGTAATTACTCCAGGTAATCGCAATTGTGTGTTTTTTTGGCTAAGGCATATGGGCTAATGTCCTCAAGTTGGCACGACTGTGGCATCTCCGGAGGGTCCTACATAGAGCTTTCCTGAACAGTCACCAAGTCGGGCTTTGGTGAATAGTACCAATGGCAGGACATAATGGAAAGCAAGTGTCAACCAATGAAGTGCAGGTAGACACTTAGGGACTTAATTTCACTGTTTACTGGCCAACAACAGCAACTACATATTCTTTGGAGAAAAGAACAACTACCCAGTCACCCTCAGAATAACTACTCAGTCACCCTCACTTAAATAAAAAAGCAAATCTATTAAAAAAGAAAAAATCTGTTTATTTATGAATCACACAGCATATGTACAAGGTGTACAAGGTGGGAGCACATGCTATACTGTCATGTTTTGCTTCCTATAATGAACAATAACAGATTTATTGGTATTCAGTGGGTCATAGTTTAGTGTGATTTCTACTGTTCAACAAGTTAGTCAAACATTTAATCATAAATAGTTCTTTAAAAATCTCCTGACGACACTGAATGTTATGTTTGTCTGTGAAGATCTGCCACATTATGACCAATTTGGGTAGCTGGAATGAAAAAACTCTGTGAGAAATAGGCAAGAGATTAAGGGTACAGTGAGTGGGGGGGTTCTATAAATAAACGCCTGTTCAAAGAAGTTCAGATTCATCTGTATGCAGACCAAATCGTACAAATGTGTGACACTGCCCCCTACAGTTACAAAAATGAACTAGCCTGCATAAACAAGCAGTGCTCTATGGATCAAAATTCGTGCCACCTTGAAATGCAAACACGACTTCGGCATGTGCGGCAAAAACAATCAACACGACGTATTGGTTTAGTGAACAGAACGCAGAACTGTATGACACAAGCGTACCATCTTACCGGGATATCGGGAGGAAGATGATGTGTTGGAAACGTATATCTGATAAAAGAGGCAGGCCAGGTGTGTTTTGACAGTTAGCATACCTTGTTGTTGGCAGTATATGTGAAAAAGCATGTGACAAGTACAGATTTCAATGTCCTAATTGAAAGAATGAGATAAAGAGGTATAGTTGTAATACATATGTCATTGTCACAGTAAACTGAAAATATTTTCCCCACTCATACAGCAGATGAGTGTAAAAAGAACTGGAAGAACCTCAGGGACAGGTACATTAAGGAGAGAAAGAACATAAGAGAAAAGATCAGTGGCACAGGGGCAGACCAGAATAAGCCATCCTGGAAATATTTTGCCATGCTGAGTTTCCTGGAGCCTCATGTCAGGGAGAGACCACCTCCTCCAACATGCCTCCATCCCTAGAGAACAGACCCTCTAGTCCCCAGGCTACCTTACTTCTCTTGCCAGCATCATCACCTGGCACCTGCCCTGATGCTGAAACAGTCAACCTGTACCTGACTGAAGTATTTCCCAGCACCCTGAATACCTCGTCACTCCTAGCCACTGCGTCCACATTACAGGAGCCTTCATCTCTGGCCCCTTCTCTGTCTCAGGAGCCTGGGCCATCCACCTCAGCATGCTGCACCTCAAGGCCTTCCCCAGCACCCCCCCTCCCCCCAATTCAGATAGTTCAAGGCAGGGCAAAAAAAGGCAGAGGCATGAGTTTGAGAGCAAGATCTTGAAAGTTCTTGAGCAGTCTATGGATGAGGAAG